ACATTGCTCCGTCGTACTGTCTCCTCACTAAAAAGAAATGTCGAACCAGAAATTATGGGTCCGCCCAATACTTACCTAAACTCGCTTTCTGCTTCATGAGAATAATTGAACGCTCCAGTGCTAGCACGTTTGCCTAATCATGTACTGCCGCTTATATCGACGACTGTTTTGTTATCACATCAACTCAAGCCGAAATGGACGAGTTGTTCAATATCTTAACAGTCAGTCGCAGTACATCAAGCTCACTCGAGAAGTCCCGCGCGATGGTTGGTTACCTTATCTGAACACACAGGTCAAGGTACCAATGGCTCATACAATGTGTGGTATAGAAAAGAAAGCTCCAAAAATATCATCATTCACGCACTGTCGGCACACACTAAAACTGTTAATTGAACAGTATCAAGTAACATGTTCAGAACTGCTGTGCAGTGCGGTGAGCGAAAAGAATCCAGAAGATTAGCTCATCAAATTGCTAATCTTAATGGTTACACAGCTCGGCAGCGGGAGAGCCGAAGCAGACCGAGGCCTTTTCCATACGGAGCTCAGAATAAATTATATCTCCAACTTCCGTTCATATCGGATCATTTTAGCGCAATTATACAAGAACCAGTTTAGCTCCGCACGCAACCGCGCGCATCACATGGTAGGCTTTAGTGAAACTGGACAACTTGCAGAATATTAGGTCACGTGGCTGAGAAACTAACAGTAAGATGTTTGGAAGATGTGTCACATGAATTTCAAAGGCTCCAATTTTGCTGAAGATTGTCGCGTAATGCGCGCAGTAGCATGCGGAATGAAAATGGTACTTATCATGACTTCGTAAACATTTAGCATTGATATCGAGCTCGGGCGATTTAGCGGTTTATAGAATTCCACAATTGAAGAATCGGTGTGTAAGTGAAATATAACCAATCAATCAGCATCAACCGAGCTATGATGGAAATTGGAAATATGATTTTATTCGCTATTAGTCCAAGTCCAGATAGTGGCAGCTCAACTTTCTTTGCTTCTTTAGATGAAAGGGTAGGAATGGAACATATTCACGTGCTAGGAACCTGGTTTAGTTCAACTGAGTGCACGCTCAATTGTCGCTACTTTTATCAGTACAGTTGCCGCTCATACCACTTTCTGTCACCTACATTCAACCCTCGCCACCTTGATCGCTTGCCAGTGATAATTGCAACGAAGTTGGAGAGACCTGCATTCAGAACGCTCTTATCATTCCTTGTCATTTGTTATCAGTTCATACTGTTCGCAATCGGTGTCCCGGTCCCAACCTCCAGGCAACGTGTAGGAGCTAATATTTACTGTCACCACGAAGGCTGCAACGAAATTAGCAGTACTCAAAATCCTAACTTCCTTATCAACCGTTATCGCTTGTTATCACTTCTGATCATCCACTATCCGTGTTCCCGTCCCATCCCCTATACCACATGTGAGAGCCAAGGTTCCAATGTAACCGCGAAGGGCCGCAACGAAACTGGTGGTATCCACACTTTGACGCCCCTTATCAGTTCTTATCAGTTGCTACCACATTCTTTCACTCAACTTCTTGGTCCCCGCCTCACCCCACATATCATACATGAGTGCAAACTCTCCACCGTCAACGCGAACGGCGTAACGAAATTGGTGACATCAACATTTCGACGTCCGTTATCAGCTCCTATCAGTAGTTATCACTTCCCGCCACCCATCATCAGTGTTCACCCCGGCCCCCTATATATCCTAGAAGTTTGAGCGCTCTGGGTCCAAAGGGGGTGAAGTTATGAATTTCCGGTCAGACACACACACACACCCGCTTAGCCGATTATATATATAGTAGGATATTATAGTAGGAATATTTAACACCAGCAGGAGTGTGGGACTTTTGGCTCGTCCGGGCTAACAGGCAGCGGGCGGCATACGCGGCGATCCAGACGAGGCGAACTGTCGCGGCTGCTGCCATTGAGTTCACACGTCAACAGTGTGTGCAGTGCTTGACATCTTCTGCACGGTTCTGCGTTCCGCACAGCAGAAGATGTGACAATGGCACGAATTGCGTAGAGAAGATTTGTATGGAAACGGAGAATGACAGAGAACTTCAAATTAACAGGTCCACTTAATAACATCAAAGCGAATACGACAAAACTTATGAGTTTTTGTTTACCGAGATATATTATCTCAGTACAAACTTACCGTATCATGTTTGCTAATCCACGGCGCTTCATCTCTAGAGGGACTTCAAAAGCGCGCTATGGTAGGTGGAAAAAAAGAGCCCAGGAGAAGGGAGAAACGTCAAAGAGAACACAGTTTGCTCACATCCTCCCCAGAACTCAAGTCCATTCGCAGTAATTGGCTCACTCACCTGAAATGTTCCTTCTCATCTTTTCCACCCAATGTTTCTCTACCATCACTGCTATCCTCAAATCTCCACTCGTTGGAAAGCAACTCGTTTCGCGCTACGAAACGCGAAAAAGTCGCTTTCTGTCCTAGTGAACCACACCCGACTGGCTACCCCCCGGCTCCAAATCACCTAGCTTTCTGGAAAAACTGCATCATGATGCCCTTCCCTAACTGGAATAGCTCTCGAAAAACGTTAGTAACAGGAATATCCTTTGTTCGGCAGCCGTGGTTGACAGTCACAAAAATGCCTGTCACACGTCGCGCTCTACGTTCCACAGTCGCGCGCCGTGGCCAATTTCGAAAGACGTCCTTTAAAAGCTGAATTTCAGTGGAAAACTATGACGACCTTTTATTCGCTCTTCATTTTTCATATTGTGCATCCGAATACGCGTTTTACTTTCAACTGTGAGCTGTGTCATCTCTTGTAGTACTGTATTTCATGCGGTGAATTGGAATGGCGTAGAGGTTCCAAAAATCCGTAGAGATTAATTAACGACTGGTTGCACATTAAAGAGATTGAGGCGATCGATATTGCTGTGCTGCAAACCTGAAAAAAAGTTCTCGACATTGTTCATAACTGCATCCGAATATTTGCCGTTCACCAGACAGAAAAATTTGAAATCTGACTTCTGACGCTAGTGGTTCTCGTTGGTTTTGAAGTAGTTCATTTGTTCACACTTAATCCCTTAATACAGCGTCGCGACCATTAAGAAGTTCACCCAGAGTTCACGTCATAGTTCCCCTTCCTCTTCCATCTCTGCGTCTAGTTAAAGCGAAGACGATTCATTACAGGCGGGATCTGGCGCATTTTCCATGGAGAAATGCGTCTTTCTAGTGAACGTTCGAGACGGAAATCCCTAAGCACGCAATAGCAGAGTGGTTTTGGTTATTTCGAAATAGCTAGAAGCCGTCTGGACTAAACGTTGGGTACAGAGTTCCACGACTTCGTAGATTGTAGATCATCGGAGCTCTGCTAGTTCACCCAATCTTGTTCATTTGCCGAATTTTGAGTGGGGTATTGATAAGTGTTTTCGAAATTGGAAGTTTGTCCGGAATTAGTCAAGGGAGTAGGTAAGAATTTGTTGTTTTAAGTTTTTCTTTCCGTAATTAGTAATTCCACCACCTCTCAGGGAATTGAGTATTCTTCAGCGGGGCTTTATACCTTGGTTAACTGAACCTAGCCCGCAACAGGAAGAGCGAATTGTGGAAAACAGCTGAATTACTTGTCTCGTTGCAACCAAACTCATCTCGAGTATCGTTCGGAGTGTCGCCTCTATTACGTTTTTTTCAGATGGTGCAATTCAACTTTTTTTTGTATATTTAGGTAAGTTCTGGGGTGCCGTTTTTCTCCGGAAAATGTCGGGCGGTGGATGGAACTTGAATGCGGCTACCTTCGTGCCAAATCTGAATGCTAGACCTTTTGTGCCAGGTCAGCCTTATGTTCCACCAACAGAAACCGCAATGTCTGCACCACCAACTGAGGCTCCAGCGGAAGGTAAGAACCTATTGCAAATCGATTTGTTCTCTATAATTTTGTCTGAGAAGAAGATCTCAGTTGCTTTTTAAGGAAAATGGGTTTCCTTCTTTCACTCAGGTACATTCGAGACTGAGACTTCCAATTTATTCGCAGACCAGTTTCAGGTCATGTCCCCATCTTTATTTCGGGCCGGTATAAACCGTACATTGCACAACAGTGCTTTTCCCTGCATTTATTGCTGTTTGCGGTTAAACGTGACCTTCTGTCTACATCTTGGGTGAAATAGCGATGGATCTTCTGAACTGACCATCTTCACGAGCAGTGGTTCCTGATCCGACCGTTTCTTCTGACCAGTTCTCAACACCGTAAATATTCACTTTAGATAAGCTATTAGGTTGTTCGGAAAGTAATGCGGGTTTTCACCTCTATTTTCAAAGAAGGAATATCTCCACTCAAATTCAACATTTTCGATCGTAACAAAAACTATTCAAAACTATTATTTTTCTTAACAAGATGCACACCAACTGTGCCGCCCACCCAAAAATGAGCGCTTCTGGAGGCAAGGCTCCCCCACTTTCTTCACGATTTGGGGCGCGGCGAGCGCGGACGAGTCGATAGTGCCCGCGAACTGTGCGGGTAAATTTGAAAACGCATCACCACCACAGTTCGCGGGCACTATCGACTCGTCCGCGCTCGCCGCGGCCGCGCCCCAAATCGTGAAGAAAGTGGGGAGCCTGGAGGCAATAATATCTTCGAGGGTCGTTTTCACATCAATTTGAACTTTGAAGCATTTCTTACTCAAGAAGTTGTTGAGATGGTTGGAAAAGGTGGTATTGGTGAGGGAGAGGTCCAGTGAGCACGACGTGTTGAGCTTCGTACGCCAGTTTGTCCAATCCTTATGAGGTCGTTTGTAGGCGCTACTTCGAAGGATGGCTCTTTTATTTCTCTGGGTTGACGAACTTGTTATTTCCGAGCACCTCATCGATATGCTGGAGAGACATCGGTGTTGTGTGAAATTCACCCGGTTTCCAAGAGCTGGGTTGCGTCAGTCCCGTCGAAGACCGCCGAATGTTCAGCTCAACTTTATTCTTCTGCAAATTCGGCTTTGGAGAAGTTTTTGAAGATTCATCGCGGTCTAGCTATTGAAGAGATGGCTTCGTCTAATCGTGAAGAGTCCATTTTCTGTCGTAGATGACAGAGCATTCCAAATGCTGGTAGTTTTTGATACGTACCATTGGAAAAGAACACACTAGAAGGAATGGCTCCACTGCTGCTCAGTCAGCTCATGTGGTAACCCACCTGTTCAGCTTTTTCACCTCTCCAGTTATCTTCGGGAGCAACAATATTTTCAGTATACCTACTGCTAGTCCTACTGCTTGCTATAGCACAGTTAGTCCGGAATCATCTTCTACGGGAATCTTCAGAAGGCCGTCGTCAACAGCAGAAGCATGCTCATGACTCCCCTCACCTTCACTATGGAATTCTTGAGACCAAAATGTTGGAGCCAAGGCTGTGCTGCGCTTTTATTGGTGCTTCCTTGGCCCCATCCTTCAGTGTTATTTCGACAGGTCTATGGAGCACTACTTCAGAGTTTCAGCACATCGAAGAAACTTGCCAAACCACTGTCTTGACACCTTCAGTTCAATTCTATAAAAATCCCAAGATAACAAGTCAAACTGAAAATTCAAATTTGTATATGCTGAAGGAAAGGCTATAGAATAAGCTTGCCAATGACATATGGGGCTTTAGGTGTCTAAGAGAGAATTTCAGTTATAAAAAATTCCAATATGCATAACATCTGCGGACACTCGATTACTGTTTCGAACAACCTATATTTAGGTTACCTGATGTGAGTGTTACTGAGAATGTATTAGCCATTCATTAATAAGAATAGCAGTTAAGAGTCGTTTAGTGCATTCAATCAGACTACAAGTAGAAAGAGTATACCTCTGAGTCTTTTCTTTGAAGATTGGGATGCTGAAATTGCTGAGAACCAGGATGAATGGGAGACGTTCAGTGTTCCTCTGCCCCGGGCCGCGTGCCGAGTTTGTTGTTGTCTGTGCCATTTTCTTGAAAAGTGCAAACAATTTTTTATTTTGTCTTAATTTTTGGTTTTAAATTGCTCTCTTTGTCACAGCAAGTTTAGTTCTTTCTTTCCGTAATGTGTTAGAGTGGGATATGTGTTTATTAAGGAGCATTTGCAACTGCTGCAATTTGTACATGTTACGGACAGATGCTTGCGAGAAAATCGCTTCTCATTGAATCGAGAATTTTAATTGAAGGGTTCCCATTTTCTGCCTTGCAACCCTGAGTTTATCTATTATAATGCAGTATCCCTTGGAAAAGGGCTCTATACGAAAACCTTGAAGCGTCTCGACGGAGGCGGTTAATTTTTCTAATGTGTGACTCCGTGAACTAATTTGGGACGGGGCTGAGTGTCAAAAAAGCATTTTTTTGTTCAGGGACTTGGCAAAACATAATTGAACAAGTGGGGATGTATCACTGCGGTTGAGCTGTTGAGATTGCTTCTGGTTTTGGCATCGAAATTTCCACTTATATCCAACATAGTGTATTTCCTTTTGCAATGGCAACGAAATCAAATACACTGGTGTGCAAAACTTAAGGACGAGACAGATGAAGTATCATAACCTTCTGATAGCTTTGTGGACCGTTTAACGGTTCCTGTTAACTGCTTTCTTTAGTGCCCTGTGACAGCTCTTTGTATGTGGAGGTTCTATAGAGTCATTTTACGCGTTTTTCATCTCTAAAATCTTTGGCAAGAAGTTCATTAGGGAGTATGTTTATACAAACAGAAGCTCAACTTCACGGGAATGGTATTGGCAGATACTATTCTTTGTAGAGTTTGTGCATTGTTGTGAAAATGGTACTTGTGTGAGAATAGTTCTGAGAGCTTGTATCCTCGCAGAAGCCAGAAAGAGGAAACATGTATTCTGTTTCTTTCGGCGTGACATGATATAATTGCAGCCTTCCAAAACGAGGCATCAAATAGCATCATGTTGCATTAAAATACTTATGTATCTCAGTCATTTAGTGGTTGATACTACGTGTGTTACTGTTTTTCAATTATGAAATTTTCATTGCAAGAAATAGAGTGTACCTAGATTGTATTCGAATGCATATGGTTTTCTGTAGGTTGTCGAAGTTCCTGCGGAAAAGCCGGAGGAGGCAGGAGGTGGAGACGAGAAGGAAACCTCGGAAGCCAGTGACGTGATCGCTCCTTTGGCCAAGAAGTTTGAACGTGTTGCATATGTCGACGGTCGGTCCTAGTGTTATCTGATACGCTTTTCCTTTTCATAACTTTTTTTGTAGATGGCACTCATAAGGAACACGTGAACATGGTGTTCATCGGACATGTTGACGCTGGAAAGTCTACCATCGGAGGTGGGAATACCAACAATACTCGAACTGCCTCTTCATATCTATGATTTGCTCTTTATTGTTATCTTACGCGTTCAGAAGGCTGGTTCTTTCAGGACAGCTAATGTCATCGTAACTGCCGTATGGTCGAGAACGGAACCCTGAGAAATATGAACGGGAAGCGAAAGAAAAGGTCGGAGAAAGCTGGTAGGTCAGTTTCGTGCTTGTAGAACATTTGAATTACATTTGAATTGTTATTCGAGTCGTTTTCAGGTATCTGTCGTGGTGTATGGATACTAACGAAGAAGAGCGAGAAAAGGGAAAGACTGTTGAATGTGGTCGAGCATATTTTGAAACAGAGAAAAAGCATTTCACGATTTTGGACGCACCCGGTCACAAAAGTTTCGTGCCCAATATGATAAGTGGTGCAACTCAAGCTGATTTGGCTGTTTTGGTGAATTGTTTTCTTATTTTTGATGATGTCATGTGCTTAACATCCGAGAGATCTCTCGTTTTGAGTCCTACCGTTCAAAAGTGGAGGTGGGAAATGGTGCGTCTATTAAAAAAATCTGTTCCTTTTTCTCGTTTTCACGGACCATCATAAACAGACCCTCTTCGCCCGTTGATTTCGGGAGTGGGCGAGTTTGGCGGTGATTTGTGGGTCGTTCAGAGTTGGTTGTACGGGGTCCGAATTTGTCCCAGCACTGGCTTTGCTAGCAGTCAGCGCGATTGAGATCCGGATGGGCTTTCGAGGAATATTCGGCGCCTTGTCAAGTCGTTGATAGCGCGCCTTCTGCCGCGAAAGGGCCACCTATCGTCTTAGTGGACCCTCCTCTACCCTTCCGCTACCAACATTTCTTTGTAATGAACATCGGTTGATAGGATTTTTGTCTTTAATTAATTTGATTCTGTATTGCTTTTGAATTCAGTTAGGCTCTCGTGTTAAAAAAGTTGACGATTCAGGTGATTTCCGCTCGAAAGGGAGAATTTGAAACTGGTTTCGATCGAGGAGGTCAGACCAGGGAGCACGCTATGTTAGTAAAAACGGCCGGAGTGCGTCATCTAGTAATTCTTGTCAACAAGATGGACGATCCCACGGTGAAATGGGACGAGAATCGGTGATTAATTCATTTTGAACACTCCATAATAAAAAAAAACAAAGATAAAAAATCAGTATGCAGTTTCACAAGAATGCTGGGTTGTGAACAAAACTTTCGCCCCAGGCGGGACTAGAACCCGCACCTCTCGCTTTCCGGGCAAGTGCGCTACCAGTTACGCTACCGGGGCACCATTTCA